TGTTTCGATCTATCTACTGCCTCACACTGTAAAAAGTAAAATCACTAAAAATCAGTGTCTGTGACACTGAAGTCGTGGATGCATCTTTTCAGTGTCATCGGTTTGACAATGATTTTAAGTGTCAGTGTAAATTGCATATGTGATTTTCAACGTCAGTCAAGAAAATCAGTGTCGTAGCATTGAAAAACAGTGTCAAGTGTAAAAAAGCTCGTCTACATCTTCCATCTCACTCTCATTCTCCTCCAGGGTGCCCTCCCATGTCCCCATATCTGCAAAACCTCGTGTGGATGCTGCTGACATTCAATCAATGATACCCCACTGTTTACCTACAGGGACCAGGCCCACCACAGCCTTTAAGCTTTGCATGTCGGTGACAATTGTTGCATGGCGGGACAACAAGTAAGTATTCTCGTTCGCAGCATCCTTTCCTTTGGTATTCCATGGTGTGATAAGAGCAAGGACGAGTGTCTTGCCACTCAGAGAGGCGAAGAATTTGTTTGGTGGCAGGGTGAGCATGAATATCTTCTCCAGATCACCATACCTGATAACTCGAACCAAATGATGATTACGTGCCTTGAGAATTACTTCATACTGGTTACATATGATGTCATTAAACTGACTGTGTAGTATTAGTGATATCGAGCACACCTTGATGTAGCAGTTCCTCCTTGCTGGAGCTGCTGGGCTATGTGAGACAGCTGCTGTCCAGAAGAAATTGCCACCTCCACATATTCGAAGCTTTCCAGCGAATAGGGTTGGGAGTGGCAAATGGATTTTCACCTCGCTCTCTCGCTTTCCTAATACCTGAGCCACATATTGAGTGATCTTTTGCTGAAGTGAAGGATCCTGCTGAGTGACCCTCTTGAATGGAGGGTGAATGATATGGTTGGGGTCTGATGTTGGCAGCACTCAGTTATGTGTCATGAAACCAGAAAAGATGGGTACTTACATCCCTCAAACACACATTCAAATACTGTTGGTCCATCATCTTCATGGTCATCCCACAAAGCAAGTTCAGCTGAAACATCATAGCACACAGAGAGTTGCTTGAGTATGACAGAGTGTAGCAATGTGTTGTTCAAGTTGCTCCATGGCTGGCATCAGGAATGCATCAATCACTGCAATGTCCCACAATACCTCTCCATGAAGAAGCTCCACATTGTCCAGGCTGGACCACAGTAATGAATTCCCTTGGTGACGTGAAGTAGACTGTGGATGGTGAGTGTGCATGCTGGCAGATGTTTGATGCAGTACTGATAATAATACCTGACAAACAAAAAATAGCTTTGATGAGTATTGCTGAAACACTCAGCATCGAAGGGAAAAAATGAAACACTAACTTCTCATATTTTTGTACCCATTTTTGTAACCATACTTCGATGTCACCCACTTCTTCCTCCATCAAGTGAAACCATAACATGAGCTTCATCAATGCACTGAGTTCACACGCATGCACATAGTACTTCTGCTTCGGAAACCGGTTTTCAAGTAAAATGGGTGCAATGTACAAGAACCAGAAGCACCATGAATTGGCCATGAATTGTGAGTGATTGGTGGCAATATTTCCTAGAACTCATATGAATGCTGCAGGTATATGTTGCACAGCAGCCATCATTTCTTGTGTGATCTCTTCCCATACCTTCGCTGTGATCCTAAATTCATCAGTGCTGGATTCAAGACCTTTGAACTGCCTGGTCCATAGATTGACAAGGTTTGGGATAACATTCTCCAAAAGGAGGTGAAACCACTCCCAGGGCGCTGAGCATGCATAATCCAGTGAACCAACTCTCTGCAGTCCAGGTAAACCATGAATACCTGTCTTCTTTGCGATCCTTCCCTTTGCAGCCTTCGATGGTGCCTCACTGATGTTCTCGAAAGTAGAGATAAAATCATGGTGGGTGCACATTGGGAGATGTTCTGGATCCCAGATAAGGGGGTTTGGGGTGTTCTTTGGGGGTTGCAGTGCAGCATAGTGAGTCTTCTCTAAACCGCACACTGCCTTTATCTTGCACGATCAGCATGGAAAGATGGAATTATGGCCTTTGATCTCCAGGAATTTCTGGATCACGAGGATGTCTCCCAGTTTGAAGATGATGTACACGTGTAGGTTGAACAAGACCCTCTTGTCAGTGTCAAATGTCAGAACTCTGTATGTGAGTTCGGCCAGCTTGTCATCGAGAGGTGAGAGGAAAGATGAAAGCTCCTTCAGCTGCCTTGGTCTGGGAATGATCCCAACACAGATTAAATGTTCATGACAAGTGCATTGAGTCGGTGGAATATTAAAGTTTTGCAGTATAACTGGTGTCGCCATTGGTCCACCTTGATTACTCTTGTACAACAGATAGCTATCAGTGCAGAGAGCAAGTGCGATGTCACGGTGATCACAAAAGTAACAATATGGAAGCCTTTTACCATCCACTTCAATGTATTCCCCTACCAATTTCTTGTAATGGGTGCCATCAAAAACATCTGAGATACTGCCAGGGGTTGACTTGTAGCTCACTCGATAGTCCATCAGGTGGATCATTTGAGGGCTCTGGAAGAGCCCTTGCAGTTGTGGGAGAAGAGGAAAATACATGAATTGACAGCGGGGTTTTCAATTAGGTTTGAACCGTGGTTGATGACAATGTGGGCAAATGAGGAGCTGTCGGTATTTCCCAGCATAGAGAATACACAACTCGGGCAACAGTCGTACTTGACAGTGGTGATGGCTGCAAGGCATGTGACGTGTTTGAAGATGACATATTCAGAGTTGAGGTTGATTTTGTGATGGAATGCCCAACACATCTGCTTGAACACAGTTTGTGCAATCCTCCCCCTCACAAGTAAATTGAATGCTTGGATATTGTCCCTGTCACTGTCAGAGAGGATGTCATTCCCTATCACAAAATTCAGTTACAACAGTTGATGAACCAGACATTTTTTACTTATGAATTTCAAAGAATTCATCTGCAACCTTTCATTTCTCAGTGCAATCTAGTGTATCCATAAGCTCCTCCATGCTCCAAAGCTCCTCATCCAAGTCTTGGTCCTCCACCCAATCCCAGGAACCAAACTCCTCATCTTGCTCAACCAAGGGCTCCACATGTGAGCCTAAGCTTGAGGATCTATCATTGTTGTCATCAGAGGCATCTGGATCAGGACTTGATCGGTCTGGAATACTGTCATCATTGTCTGACAAAGATATGCTGATCAGTTAGCTTGCTAGGTGGTTAGGCAAATACAAGAACATGAACCTGAAACCTTGGGTGCAGTAGCATCAGCCTCTGCATCCAAGTCTGACAAAATGCTCTCTGATGCTCATATCTGCCCCACAAGGCCATTGTTTGCTAGGTCCCTGTAATGCTGGCAGCGCTGCTTGAGGCTAAGTATTTTTCTGCATGTTGGGAGACAATGACACTGTTTGCAATAGTTTCGACCAGGATGAGTCTTCACCCTGCACTTGTGCTGCATCATGACAGCACCATGGCAGTTGTACCCACAGTTTAGAGACTTGAAGACTTGACAGAATTTTCACGTCATCTGAGCACATGAGTATCACGTGACCTACCTCACGAGCTGTTTTGCATCTTCCCTTTCCACCCCTAACAGTCATTAATTCACAATGGTCAAAGCGCCAAAACCATATAATGTGAAGCAAGCACCACAGCTATCAACCATTGGTCAAGTGATTGTGTCACTACAAGAACAATTAGACTCATATACTCATAAGTCAGATCCTGTGCTGTATGCCATCTGAATGATTGATAGCATTTATCTTCATACATAGGAAACCAGTGTGCTGATGACTTGGACTGTCACAAAAAGAAGACTAATCAAGAACGGGACTCCTTGATAAATGGTAGCAGCCAGGACTTGATTCCCTGACCAAAGGGCTGCCCAGGACAAAGCGATGGAAAGGGCTACAGTATTGTCAAGGCGATGGGCCTCTTGAAGAAGAAGGAATTCTTTAATCACCTCAAGGTTGTATTTTTTTTTTCCATAGATGATGCTGATCTCACTGATAAAAGTAGCATGGTATTTGCAAACTTGCAAACTGGAAACTTGATACGAGTCAAACAATAATGCAGCAAAAAGACAAGCTACTCATTGAGAAAGTTATTTTTCAGGTGCGTTGCTGTCATATATATGCATATATGCATTATAATCTCTATGTAGGTGCAATTAGAATACAAGATATTCCAGAAACACAAAAATGCATGGCCAGTGTGAGATTTATTGGCACAATATCTGCACAATAGTTCACAGTTAGAGAAGAAAGCTACCTCAACCCTTGAGGTGCATGATGCAATAAATGATTTCGTTTAATTCACTGGGACTCATCGCAACTATACGAAACACAGCACAGGATTGGGAAACAAAAAGCAGAAGAGATCTGTGGTGATGAAGAATCAGATTTTTGGGACACTAATGAGGACACATCCGTCATTGACTTTGATCATCTGCACTTGGAAACAGATAGCCCAAGTGAAGCAAGTGACAATGACAGCAGTGAAGACCTATCAGAAGATGGGCAAGACAGCGACAAAGACAAAGACAATGACAATGACATGGCGCCAGTCAAGAGAAAATCTACAAACCTACCAGCCTTGGAAGTATGTAGCAAGACATCCAAGTCTGGCACATGCAGATCATCAGGTGAGTAGCATAGATGATTTGATATGTACTAATCATCTACGGGCCATTGTAATAGATCATAACAAATGTCCAAGTCATCCTCAAAAAAAAACAGTGCAAAGAAGAATCAGAAGATGAGCATGGCGGTGAAAGTGACAAAGACGACAATCTGGCGCCAGTCAAGAGAAAATCCATCACACCAGCCTCACTGGAACACACTAAATGTAGCAAGATGTCCAAGCCCTCTGGGCAACTATTGGGTGAGCTTCGTGGATCAGACCTCATCCATCACTAACTCTCTCGTCTCACTAGATGATAGCAAACTTTGTCCTCAGAAATAACAGTGGGAGCGAGCCAACATCGCTGAAAAGCAAAAGATGGTAATGGCCAAGCCTGACCCCAAGGCAAATGAGTATAGCAAGCTTGATGACAGTGTAGGAAGTATTACCTGATGTTCAGTCATACTCACCAAAGCAGAATGCTCAAGCAATGAAGGCACTCTCAAATTCGAAGGTATTCTATGTGGGCTAACAGCAAACCTGTACTGACACCAGCATTACAGACTGCTGTAGGATGCTCTATCAAGATCATGAACATGAGATTGCCTCCAAACGAGGATGAGGACAAGGATGACACCAATTATCATGAGCTCACTGCCACCGCTGCTGCCAACAGTCCCATTGCAAGTCACCAGCCACCAAAGACGTGTCCTGGAATGGACTGTGAAGATGCAATCCCTGACAATATCTCTGACCAGCTCAAGACTGCCTTGTCCACCTATGTCGGCCTTGTCAAGGAAAGGAAGACCAATATTTGTTTGGAGACAGATATCTGTATCTTAATCAAATGAGAGCATCGTCGGCTCGAAGCCCTCAAGGTCACAGAGGCAAAAGGTTGGCCAGCCACAAAAATCGAGTTCAAAGATATCCCCTCTCACATTCTGGAAATGTATGATGAACTCAAGAAACTTTTGTTCGATGTGGAAGCACACAAGAACCTCTGGCTCTGGACCTGTTTCAAAGCCAACCTCAAAGTGAATCATTACACAATAGCGCAATTTGCTCAAATGCACATCCCTCCAATGTCTTCAGCAATATGGGAAAACTCACGCTGCAGATAGTAAGTAGTCTGCATTGTGTTCCTTGAGAACATTTAAAACTGATGACATCCCAGCTATGGTTCGAAAGGTGCTGCAATTGTTATGCACATGCTACTCCAGCTATTTCCACCAACAACGTCCACTGACGCTTTTCAGCCTCTTTCACTTTTGCAGTACCTAACCTACTTCATAATTCCCCATGTCATCTGTCAGTTTATCACTCAAGACTTCAGCCTTTTGTCGACCATGCCCACACACAATATCATGGTAGAAAGTAACGATGTTGGCAAACTGATCAATCCCAAGCGTGATGATGATGATGAGCTCGATCAGATCAAACGTGCAATGACATTTGCTCTTAAACAGAGAAACCTCAAGGGCCAAATGATCCATGACACTGCTAAGGCACTGGTCACACTTCAATATGCAAAGACAACTGATGTTCCAGGCACGAGTGGTGTGTGTCTTTTACTTTGATCTCACAGAGCTGACAGCAATAGGATCAGTCAAACGCTTGCCCAAAACTGCGTCTTGTGCTTCGTCTACCAAAGGAGGGAGCCCCTTGCACATCTAGTGCTTCGGGTCAGCAAGAAACCATTCAGGTCTGTTGAAACATAGCAATTTGACCACAGAATCACTACACACCGCATTTCAACCATCCAGGTCACCACAAGCACTAGTGGTGCTTGCGTAAACACAACTATGAGTCATTCTCAAGTACTGGGGAAAAAGCCTCGTGGCTGGCAAAGTAAGAAGGCCCCCAAGATGGTTGAACAGGATCCTCAGGCTGGGGACGCCGCAGTGGTGGTAAACCCACTCTCTTATCTCTTGGTTGGCTTGCTAACAAGGTCAATCCTGACATAATTCAGACACAGGCTCGACGTACACCCCGAAGTGCGTGATCAAAATGTTAGGTCCACATCCAAATCCTCCTCCCTCACACATTTTCGATTGCTGCTACTCAACTGCTCTCGTTTGGCTGTTGTTGCACTGCCAGCTGCTCCTCCTCGAATTCGATCGCTTTTGCCGGACCGTTTTCATTTCTATCACTACTGTGTTGCTCGGTCTTGTTAGCTCCTGCTGGACTTGTGACGGATTACTGACGCTTTCGTGGAATACCCTGTTATATGACTGCTGTGGGTGTCTCTGTAACCTCAGGTAGCGTTTGAAATCGCAATTTTGTGATTTGCCTGGTTATTTCCATGACAAGTGGGACATATGTAAGCAAGCATGAAAACCCGTGCTATCGAAGCGGAAAATGAGCGCTCGCATCAACTTATTACAGTGTCGCGACGTGGAAAAACAGCTACAAGGCAGTGTTATTCAGTACTTACGACGTTTTTTTTTCGGTGACGAAGACACTATTTTTTACTAGACCGGATGGGCACTTCAGCGTCACATTATGACGCTGAAATTCAATGACTGACACTGATCTTCAGCTGTTCCGACACTTAACAGAAGTGATTTGGACATTTATTTTTATTGATTTTACTTTTTACAGTGTCATCTTGTTACGGTGTTGTGTAGTGCATTTACATAACTCTATTCGTTGACGAATATATACTGGGGACAGCAGGTAGAACGAGACTACCTGCTGCACCAAGATCTGCCAAAAACGCGGCAGGCTTGTACGTGTCGGACCAGGCTGAGCAGCTTGTTACCGCCTTTCTATTTACCCCGTAGCTCGTATGTTTTGTGTGCTGCCACAACGAAGACAAGTATAACGGTAGAGTTTGTGCGAACTAGGACCTGGACAGGAGGTAAATACGAGACAGCACAGACTATCTTTTTCTAGGACAACTGTCAAAAGCACGGCAAGCTTGGGTCCAAGGTACGTATCAGAGGTGGCAGAGTAGGGATCCCGGTGGATCAGTTGACGGCTTGTCCTGCTACTTGCACATACTAGATCAGTACTTCTTGCGCATTCTAGCATACCCATGATAGAAGGCTTTCTGCAGACGTTCTGAAAAGTCCACAAGAGGCAGAGAAATGGGTTATCGCTTCGCATGCAGAGATAAATGCCGACACAGACTTTCCGTTCGTCGATGGCGAAGGTATATACTGTTGTTCCTGTTCCTCACTCGTCATGCCATCCTCGGCTAGCGTTACGACGGTCGCAAAGCTCCACGATCCCACATGCCTTTGGCATAACGGACAATACACTAGCAACATCCTTTGCTGACGTCGATAGTCCCATCGCAGAAGTACCACTAGGAACCACGTCATTTGCGTGGTACGGACGAACCGGCGACGCGTTGACTTGCGCTCCTACCTATGAGAGACAATGCAGACGTGCATGGCATTGGCGTAAGCATGCTTTCCCTGTCCGTAAGCGAACGCGAGACAGAACTTGCGAGCAAGAGCGCCTGCCAATCAAAAAGGGCGACGATTAAGGACGTATCTGACAACTCGGACGGTGGTGGCCGTGCGCTTTCATCGACTTGCGTAGCAAAAGAATCAAGCATGGGACGTTGACGCAGCTGAACGAAGGAAGCTTGGCTGTGACGGTATCTGAGAAACAAGTATTAGAAAAAGTCCCCGTGAACGCATGCGAGTGTACATACGGGTATGTCTTTTATGGAGATTTTAGAAATCATAGGGACCAGTGCAACGACTGCCAGTGGTCCTCGAGTCGCGTGCCGTGAAACACGGATTGAAGGGACATGCAGTACACGGAATCTGTGAGATGGATTACATAAATTATCCTTAGTACATTCTACGCCGTTCAACGCTTGGCCCAAGTACACGTGCAGAAGGGAAGGATAATGAGCGTAGCCAGCCTACTGAATGTAAAACGCGGGAAAGCTTGGGGAAAGCATCATGCATCGTGATCAGCTACAAATTAATAAGTTCTGTACAGAGGCATCAGGAAGCGAAAAAATGGTTTAGACTTGTTTAAACCTGTCACTGACTGGTCGTGACTGCGATTCCGTCATTTCCTGTCCCTCTGATGAGGGACGCAACCTAACACATGTCCTGCTCGGCGACGATTACACATTCCTCAAACCTGCAAGCACCCATGACACGTCACATGTTCACAGCAACCTGCTATCGATCGCAGCGTGGCGAACTTCTCCGGACGATCCAAACGATAACATGGCGCCACTGATATCGTCGAGGGTAGGGCTGATGCTGTGACCTTGCCTATCTCCTTGCGGTGCTCTGGACTACTAGTAGCCAGCAGGTCGGTGACACCCTCATTCTATGACACATAACTGTCAATCGAAGATGGTCAGAAGGGTTGGCTCATTGGAATGGGTGTCCGTATGTATTGGAATTTGGATCCGAGGTGAAGACCAATTGAACGTCTAGAACCGAAGACTACTGACTCGCTTCCTCTAGATTAATGAACCACCTGACTGTCCATTTATATGCGCGAGAAAACGAGGGAAAAGGTTCTATGCAGGCCGCTTTATGTCGCGTGCAATGGTTCGGTCTATGCGGTTACAGTTTCAGACATCCTGTGATCAACGGGCCTTGGAGAAAAGGCGTGATTTTGAACTCTAGTAAGCGTTCTCGTTCGCCGCGATTCTAATGTGCCTAGATGTGGAGGAACTTCGTCATATTATATTGTCCAATGGCGTTATAGGACTCAAGAAGAACAAAGTTAGGCCTCGTTTGAGCGATGTGTCTAGTAAGAGTGTACTCATCATCAGGAAGCGAAAAAATGGTTTAGACTTGTTTAAACCTGTCACTGACTGGTCGTGACCGCGATTCCGTCATTTCCTGTCCCTCTGATGATGACTTCTGATGGCAGAATGAATCATGCCTGCCGAATGCGGATCAGGACTGCCTAGTTGCTTGTAGGGAAACGTGTTGGGTATTGGTATTGTTGTCCAATGGTGTCATGCGACCCAAGAATCAACATCCAGTGGAGCTCAAAAGCATTAGCTAACCCTCTTATCGTGGCGGACTCATGTATCTTTACCCGCGGATCTCTGCGACCGTTGTTTATTAGCCCCTGTTCCTGCCCAGCGCTCCGCCATATGCAACCCCGTTCCTGGTTTGGACACCATAACCATGTACGCCCTCAAAAGTATCTCATCATTTATTTGTGAATGAAGGAACCAGTCTTCGCTGAAGCGATCAGCGGCTAGCCTCACTCTGGTGCTGCAACTAGGTGTGTCAATAACTCCACGACGTGCGGTCCTTCCAGATCCAGGTTGGACCCAAAGCGTAAACTGTTCCATATTTTCCGAGGGTCAGTGCCTGCGATGCCATCTGGTTCATGATTATCTATTTAATTGTCCCGGACCAGTTCGTCAGGTGATCTAATCGTGAGTGTAGGTTCTTCTTGATCTGTGGGGAATTCCAATTCGGCGTTCCAGGTTGCTTAGATCTTCCATTCAACTTCCGTATCCGTAACCATTCTTCCTCTCGAATACGCATCATTCCACATAGCCGGAGCGCAATCATGTTCATCCCACGGTCAACTCACACGAAGTCCAAGTCCCCGTGACAAGAAGCCGAAAGTTGAATTGTACTACTGCTTCGGGATTGCCTGCCCTACATGTGTTGGGTGGTGGATCGGATAAAGGGGCTCAGGTTTGTCGTTCGTTCCTCAAGCTTTTGTCTCAGTAATACTCGCTCCCAATCACAATAAACTTGTGGGTCCATTTTACCTCTCAGTACTACCACATTCATATTCACTGTAATCAGCGTTAACCATGGACCCAACTACTATTATGAGCCAAAAAACTACCGTCTGCAGATGGCTTCCCGAGGACCCGGCAATCGTCGCAGAATTCGTGAGCGACTTGGTCCAGGTCAGCCGCGTCCTCCATGGACTTCACCCTGTTACCCGTGAGCCTTTCGCGAAGCCGGGAGACAAACTGGACGAAGAAGTATTACGCCGTTCCAAAATTGATTTTGACATAAAACGCCTAGACATGTACAGGAAGAAATAGAGTATGGAAGAGAGCAAATATTGGACAGCCTAGAAAGATGGGACAGAGGAGAAAGACAGGAAAGGTGGGAGCTACGGAATCGGTCTGCGTTTGTGTGTAAGAGTCTTCATTGATCAACGTTGACACTTCGTTGGCGGAACTCTGTTATAGGCTAGGCTTAGATTACAATCTCTGGCACAAGGTAGGGTTGCGAGGACACACCTCATTTCCGGGGCGACGAATTCAGTACCAGTCCCACATCCAACGTATCACGCTGCTCCTTGGACAACAACCATATCGATCTGGGCGACCTTTCCCGCTCGCAGGCCATCTCCACTCGTGCTTTGATCTTCTTCGGCGTTACGCCGCCCGTTGGCTTGATGTGCTTCGAGAGTGCTGGTTTGAGTGAGGTGTCGACTTGTGAAATTACCATCAATAAGGATGGCGTATTCCTGAAAGGAGATCCGCTGGGCATATTCTAGTGACTTGGAGGATCCACCTGCCGCCTTATCTTCCAACGTTTCCTGATCGTGACGTCGTGCATGCAGCATCGATAGGATCGAAAAGTGCGAGTCGACAAATACATTCTCAGCGTAGAACCACTTTGAGGCGATAGCTTCGATCGCATGTTGGTATAATCTTACAAACGTTGCCTTTCTGGTGTATACGATAGCAAGGTTGAATCGTC